GTCCTACAGCAAGTTTAGCTTTTTCAAGCAGAAAAGTAAGCATATAAGTCCATGGTGTCACTGAGCATTACATCAGCCCTTATCAGTCAGCAGCTGCTTTGCTTTCTAACTAATTTGATAAGAAAACCACTTGTATTTTATTCAGTAAAAACAATGCATCACTGTCCGTGGGGCTTTGATGATAGAGAATGAAGCAATTAATTATTGGAAAATTCCTCGGAATTTTTTCCTCTCTTACTGTTATTTTTAGTGATGTATTTTTCCTCTGTGTATCAGGGCCTCCTGTTTGTTGTTTTAAGTCATCCCCATGCCAAAGAGAGCGAGTCCTGTGGAAACCCCGCGTTCCGTGTGATCGCCTTCAACCCGAAAACAGCCAGAAGCACCGGGGTGATGTTTTCCTCCCTCCCACCTGGACACACTGGAAGGTGAGTACCTTGGGGATGCTGCCTGCTCGTCTTCGTGGCACCTTTGAGGTGGTTTTGGAGGAGACTCAGTTAACGAGCTGAGCAGCAGTGCTGGCAGTGAGCCGTTCACCATCTTTCCGATGATAAGAGGGCTGCCATCCATCACTTCCACTCGCGCTGTGCATTTGTTATAATGCTGCGAGGGTGTTGGCTTTTTCCTGCCTGCTTCCTGCACGAATCTGGGAGTTAACCTCTGAGCTCCCTGCGTCACGGCTCAGCAGGAGGGCTCTGCTCGCCAGAGCCACGCTGTACACTTCTTTTCCCTTCCCCCCCCCCTCCAGTCAAAGTGATTATGGAAATGCTGTAGCTGGATTCATCAGACCAACCCCTTAGTCAAAAACCTCCTGAGAAAATACGTGCAAATGAGACTGGTGTCAGCCTTTGTGATGTTAAGTACCGCTTTGCCTGGTTTATTTATGTTAAGCAGCTGTTTGCAGTCTGATGACCTTTTCCTTCCTGTGTCTTGCATTTTGAAGGCTAATCTATTTAAGACTCAGTGTTGCAACGCACTTACATCCCTCTCGTTTCCTGTTAGCGGGTTGAGATCCTGGCTAACAGAACAACTTTCAATTTCTGAGGACAGGGAAGTATTGCATGAGCCTCTTCCAGATGCACTAAAGATGCAATATTTAACATAACCTGGTTCTCTACATCGGCTTAAATGTGCTTGCAGATTTTTTAGGTGTGTTAGAGCTAGTGTAGATCTTCTAGGAGCATAACAGCTCTGCAGTGAAGGCTGTGCCGGTGTTTTCCCAGCCGAGTTGCAGCCCGGTGATGCAAGGTGTCTCCCGCAGGTACTTGGAAGGGGAGGTGAAGGACGCTTCGGCTGCAGCTGTGCTGACCTCGGGGACCATCGCGGTGTGGGATCTGCTGCTGGGCCGCTGCACCGCGCTGCTGCCGCCAGGCTCGGACAGCCGCTGGACTCTGGTGCGCTGGAGCGCGGCGGAAGCAGGGCTGCTGGCGGGGCGGGCGGACGGCAGCGTCTGCGTGTACCGCTACGCGCGGCACGGGGCGGCCTGACCGCGCCTCGCTCGGGGCCGCGCGCGGCGTTTGTTGCTGTCATTAAAGTGCTTCGGTTCGGTGACGCTCCGTCCGTCTGCGCCGTACCGGGATCGGGAGCCGCGCGGCCTCCCGCCGCCAGAGGGCGCCGTTTCCCCACCGCCCGCCGTCACTCTCGCGCCGAGCACGCGCGCTTCCGGGCGCGGCGCGGGGGCTGCTGGGATCAGGTCACCATGGCGGCCCGTGTCCTCTCGGCCTGCGTCCGCCGCCTGCTGCCCCGTGCCGGCGCCGCCGTTCTCCCCGTCCCCCACGCGGCGCTCGGCACGCTCCGCCCCGGCCGCCCGCGGGCCCCGCAGCCCGCCTTTATCCCCACGGCGCCGCGGGCGGGTCTTGTGCCGTGCCGCCGCTACTCGGAGCTGCCGCCGCTGACGCTGGCCGACATCAAGGAGCGCGTCCTGTACGTCCTGAAGCTGTACGACAAGATCGACCCCGAGAAGGCGAGCGGGGGCCGGGCCGGGCCGGGGAGGGCGGGGCCGGGGCCGGGAGCGGGAGCTGACCGCCTGTGTGCACCCCCAGCTGACGGCCGAGGCGCATTTCATGAAGGACCTGGGGCTGGACAGCCTGGACCAAGTGGAGATCATCATGGCCATGGAGGACGAGTTCGGTAATGGCGCGGGCGTTGCTGTGCGTCCGCGTGGACCGGGCAGAGAGGAGCTCCGTGTTCTGGGTTGTGTTTCAGGGCAGACCCGCTGTTGAGAGCCCCGCACTCCCCATCCCAGGCTGCAGCTCTGTTTGTTCTATGAGCATTCGGCAGCAAACTGAACCCGAGGGGTTTTGGCTCTTGCTTGCCTGCAGTTACCCAGAACATCCCTCTTCTGTGTTGGGGGAGCCCTGATTGAGCACCGATGGCTTCAGCAGTGCTCAGGGACACTGGCTGGCACTGCAGCCCTTGCCTTGTCTCCTATCCAGACTCACTGTCATGTAAGGTGTAGGCACAGCCTGAAACTCGCTGTAGTAACAAGATGCTGACTCTGACTGCAGTGGAGAAGCAGCCCTTGTGTGTTTATTTTTGGCTGTGCTGCAGACGTCTGAGCCAGCAGTAATTGCTTCCTTCAGCCTTGCTCCTGTTTCCATTGTTTTGGGCTGAATCTATGTGCTTTCTTTCAGGCTTTGAAATTCCTGATGGAGATGCAGAAAAATTAATGTGTCCACAAGAGATTGTAGATTACATTGCAGATAAGAAGGATGTTTATGAATAAAAGCAGTTCTCCAAAGCAGAGTAAGTATAAATGTGCCTCTGCAGGGGTCTCTATGCCACACCAAGAGCTGCAGGAATCCACAGTTGTGTTAGCAGATGGTGAACTGACTTGGAGTCCATCCTTCAGAGCTCTTCAGCTGCTCGCAGTGTGCTGAGCAGCGCTCCCTAGTGGTGGGTGACAGCAAAGCTCTGAGCTGCAGCTAGCGGCTGCTTTCTCATCAGCCACAGCCTGGGACAGCGGCAGGAAAGGAAACGATGAGGAAAGGGTTATTCCAGCGGCAGCCTGAGAGGCACTTGGGGGCCGCAGGGGAAGTGAGCGATGGCCTCAGGGCTGTGTGCATCAGGAGCACGTGGAAGCAGATTCCTGTTTGTTGCTCTTGTGCATGCTACTCACTTCCCCCCTGCCTCGATCTTCCCTGAGATTGAGGTGTAAAGGGTCAGTGAAGGAGCTGTGCCTGTTTGCTGCTCTTTCTGAGCCAAAAATGGATGGGGGAAAAAAAAAAAGTGACAGTCTTGCAAGACTTGTGCAACTTCCTCTGGTGTTCTTCAGCACTTGTCATGTGTATAATCAATGAATATAAAGATGCTATTATTACAAAATAAACAAGAGAGTTTGGCAAAGCAGATTACGATAACAAAAAGAGAATAGACAGAATGCTTACCCCTTATCCTGGGCTCACTACAGAACTCCAGCAGAGCAGATCTCCAGAAGAGATCCTTGCCCACTGGCAGAGCTCTTAAATAGGTCTAGGAGAGGTGCAGCCTGGCTCCACCCCTCACGGCAGCACGAGTGAATTGCCTTCACCTGTGCTCCTCTGGCTCAGTGCTCAATCAGGTGGTCAATCAGAGGTTCAGGCCGTGGCTCAGCAGTTCCCATAACAATGTCTCTGCCAGACCAGCCTCTTTTGTTCCTTAATGTGGTAGCTTCCAGCTGATGAATTACTAAATGCATGGATGTTTTTTTTGAACAGGAGATGTCTACCACTAGGATGGCCCTGATGTCAGTGGGCATAAGCGCACATGCTGCATTGTTGCTGCTTTCATCAGAAAGTTGTACTTGGACGTTGTATTTAAAGCTGTCTGAATATGTTGTCCTTTAAAACGAGGAAAAAAGGAATAAATATATAAGACCATGATGGTGTTGATGCCTTTTGTTTCACAGTTGCAGCCCACTGGGGCTGGTTTTTAGGGTAAGGGACACTGCTGGGGCTCATTGCACTGTGAGCTGGCAGCATCAGCTGCACCTCCTGGAGAGCTCCTTGTGTGGCAGACTGAAAGAGCATCGTATACCTGAGTGGGAGCTCCAGTACAGCCTCTGCTGCTGAGTTGAGTCCTGTGATCTCACTGCTGGTACTGCTACTCTTTCCACTAAAATGCTTCTTTTCTGCCTTTACTATTTATTTCACAAATGCTGGCAAAAATGAGTCTCATTTTTTGCTTCTGTTTTTTGAATGGAAATTAAAGGAGGGGATGACATGCCTGCTGCTGAAATGCAAAACCACATTGGGGTGTCAGTAAGTGTGGCTCATCCCAGCACGGGAGGTTTGCTTTCAGACTCTCTTGAGACAGGGAGGGAAAAAAAAAAAAAAGTTATTTCTGGACACTGCACAGTTTTTCTTCTCAGCCAAGAAACACTTTTGTGTGTCAAAGAGGCACTGCTGGGCTGTGAGCCAAGAAGTGTGAGTTGATAACGTGCCTTCCTCTGGCAATCCGGGTGATGGGATGGTGGAAAATAAGCCCCAGCTGCTCCACATGGAGCCTTAATGTGGGGTGGGTGCTGTTTTCAGAGCCTCCTCTGGAGAACCACGTTTCACTGTCTGCCCTGTGCCCCCAACCTGAGGGTGCTCTGCTGCTCTTCAGGGCCCGGGCTTTGCTTTCATTGAGTAAGAAACAGTTCTTTCCTCTTGAATGAACTGTGAAATATTCTCTGGACGTGCCGTGCAGTGGAAACGAGAGAAAGCACTCGTGGCGGCTCTCATTGGGGTGGTACCCCGTGCGGTCATCGCTCTCGTGTCGGGGTCGATGTGAAAGAGCCTTGGCCGGATCAGCGCTGCAGCTGCGTGCCGGGAGGGCGGCGGTACGGTCCTTCCCAGCCCCAGGAGGGAGCTGAGCCGCGTCCGAGGGGCTCCGCAGCGATGCGGCGGGCGGGGACTGGCAGCCCCGGGGGGGATCGCGGCTCCGAGTCTCCGCTCGACGCCCGCGGGTGCCGCGGGGCCGGGTTCCGCCCGCAGCCGGGTCCGCCCCAGCCCTGCCGCTCCGCCGCTCCCCGCTGGGCCGGGCCGGGCCGGGGGCTGCGGCTCTGGGCGCCTCCGCCCCGCGGCGGAGGGAACGGGCGGGGGCTTCCTGCGCTCCGAAGTCGCCGGCGGCAGCAGCAGCAGCAGCAGCATGGAGCGGGTCCCGCGGCTCGTGGCCGCCGCAGGTGAGCGCCAGGAGCTCCCTACGGGACCGGGACCCCGAGACGCGGGAGAGCGGGAGGGGCCGCGGGGAGCGGCGGGGGCCCGGGGGCCGTCACCGTGCTGTGTCGGCTTCCCTCCGCCGGGCCCGGCGTCCGCGGGGAGCTCAGCTCGGGGCAGCCACGTGCGGCGGGAGAGGGTCCGGGCTCCCGGCAGCGCCCGGTGCCCCCCGGCTCCGTCCGCGCACGGGTGGACGGCGGCCGCGGCCCCGTTTTCCCCGGGGGATGCGCGTCCCCCCCGTGCAGGGGCGGTGTCCTCGCGCGCGTCCCCGTGCCGGCGTCTCGGGGCGGGGGGCTCGGAGGGGCGCCGGGCCGGGCGGTTCCTTCGTCGGCTCGGAGAGGCGCTCCGTCCCGTCCGTCCGGTGCCCGTGGGGCCGCGCAGCGCAGGGCCGGCAGCGGCAGCGGCTGCGTTCCGCGCGCCGAGACAAAGGCGGCGGGATCCAGCCGGGCGCTGAACGATGCCCGCGCTTTTCCCTTCGCAGGAAATGACTCCCGAGGCACAAAGGGCCCCACGCCCGCCGCTGCCCCGCGGGAGCCGCTTGCAAAGCTTGGAAAACGCTTCACCCTTCGCGCAGCCCTGCGCGGCTCTGCTCCGCGCCGCTCTGCCGGGGAGGGGCGGCTCCGTGCCCGCACGTGCGGTGCTTTCTGGCGGCGCCTCGGGCTCGTGCCGGTGTGCGGGCGGAGCCTTCGGGGGCGCGAGGCCGCGGTGCGGGACGGCCGTATCTCCGCCGCGCCATCGCCGCCTGCCGGGGCTTTTGGGGGGGACGATGCGCTGAGCCCCGTGCTCGGCGCTGACGCCCGATCCGTTCCTTCCGCAGTTCTCGTGGGGTGCTGCGCGCGGCTCTGCCCCGCTCTCGGCAGCGGGATGGGCTCCACGCGGGGCACGGCCGTCCCCTGCGCCCACCCAGGGGAAGGTTGCCGGACAGGTACCGTACCGCGGATGGGCTTTTTGCCTGCGGGGTCGGCCCGCGTGTTGGTGCTGTGCCGGAGGGCGCCCGCCCCGCTCAGCATCCCTCTGCCTCTGCCCGCAGATCCGCAACACGGAGCGGAGTGGTTGCAAACAGAGGCTGAGCTGTTCCCCTTCCCTGGGACCCCACCCGGGACTGCTGAGCCCTCCGGCACAAACAGCAGCCCGAGGGAGGCCGGGACGGACCCTGCAGTGCGGGATGGAGTGAGCACCGCGGCACAGCCTTCATCCTCTGCTGGTACCACTGATGCAGCTGCAGGCAGAGAGGGAACGTCTCCTACACCCCCTGGGGAGAGCCCAGCCAGGGTGCTCACAGCAGTCACCATGGAGCTCAGCACAGCTCCAGCCATCAGCACTGCCCCCAAGACTGAGCCCATAGGAAATGAGAAGGCAGAGAGTTCCCCAACCCCACAGAGGACCCTGTCGCATTCATCGTCCCACATGATGGTGCCCAGCAGCTCTACGGGGCAGTGGGGAACCCCCAGCACTGTGAGGACAGTGCTCACACAGAGCTGGGAGGGCTCACTTAGCCCCTCACAACCTGCCCTGGAGCCAGAGGGCAGGGGTGCCACCATCCCACCCAGTGACATCAGAGCAGGGACCCCCCAGGGCCACACAACAGGCAGCCCTGTGGCAGGGACGAGTGGGACACTGTCTTTTGTGGGAGGGCTGCAGAGTCTGCAGAGCCCCCCTGGGGAACTAGGAAGGATTCATCAGGTGCTGGCAGGGCCAGGGCCAGCAGGAGAGTCCCACTCATTGCAGGGGACAACCATGGCCTGGCTGGGTCCTCATGCCACTTCCCGCCCCCCTCTGCTGTTCTCAGGGGTTGCTGGCCATGGAGGGCTGATGTGGCATCCCAAGGGCCCTGGGGCCAGCACGACCCTACTGCCCATGGAGTCACGTCTGCCTCCTGACCCTAGCACCACAGCCGCTGTCCTAGGGGTGACATTCCCTGGCCCTGAGGGAGCCCCAGACCTGACCACGGAGGTGTTGGGGCTGCTAAACATTCAGAGTCCCCCTGGGCCCAACCATGTCCCCATGAACCAGACCTGGCATATCTCAGCCTTGCCAGGGGAAGCCCCACCGTCACTGGGCCCACAGCCCTCCCTGGGGCTCATCCCCACTGCAGACACCCACCCAGCAGCGTCCCCAGGGCGTGAACATGCTGAGAGGCCTCACGTCCCAGGAGGGACCCCGGTGTGGGCAGGTGATGCTGGGCCTTGGGCAGTGACTGCACCACCAAGCACAGCCCTTTCCGCGGCCCCCAGCTCTCCACTGCAGCCAGCCCTGACCAAACCCACATCATCTCCACCTCTGCTGACCTTTAGCACCAGCATCACCAGCACTGCCACCAGCACACCTACTGCTACCAGCACAGCCACTGCCACCAGCCCCACACTGCTCAGGGATGAGAGGACGGCCCCGCTGGATCCCATCAGTGCTGCATGTCGGGGGGCTGTGGAGGAGCTGACGCGGGGGCCCAGTGCGGTGCCGGGGTCCCCCCATCAGCCCACAGACCCCCCCGGGGGCACAGAGCCGCCTCCTTCACAGAGCAGCCCTACGGAGCGGCCACACGCTGACCCCACATGCGTGACACCAAACCCAGAGACAGCAGGCAGGGCCACCCCGGAGTTCATCGTGGAGGACGAACCGCCGCAGCTGCGAGGTGGGCTGCGGGGTGACCCTCCCGGGAGCCGCCGGCACGGGCAGCGGTGGCGATGCCGAGCCCTTTCTGTCCCCGCAGCGTCCCTCCTGCGCGTGCCCTGCGAGCTGGCGCTGGACATGGCCTTCGTGCCCGCGCTGCGCGACCCCGCGTCCCACGAGCACCACGTGCTGCTGAGCGGCCTCAACCGGACGGTGAGCGTGGGGCCGCCCCGTGGGGAGGAGCATCGCGCTGGGGCGGTCCCGCATTGGCACCCATGGCTCCCGCGCAGGTGGCGGCCCGGCTGGCGGCGGTGCGCGGCTTCGTGCGTCTCGAGGTGACCGCCGTCAGGTAGGGACGGCCCCGCAGTGCCCGGCGTTCCCGCGGCCGTTCGGGGTGATGCGGGGCGCAGCCGCAGTGTCGTGTCCCGCAGGGCGGGCAGCCCCCGTCAGGTGGTGCTGCACTACGACGCGCTGTTCGCGGCCGAGCTGGTGCGGGCGGCGGCGCTGGGAGCGCTCCTCGACGCGGCGCTGCGCTCCGGCGGAGCTGCGGCGGTGGGCGCCGCCCGCGTCCTGCGGCACACGGCACGCGGTGAGTGCGGGCGGGCGGCGCGGGGCCCGGCGGCTCTCGGAGGGTGCGGAGCGGCACGGCCCCGCCGCCGTCCTCTCTCCCGCTCTCCTATCAGCGCCGGAGCCCTGCGCGGCGCTGTTCTCCTGCCCCGACGGCTTCGCCTGCGTCGTGAGGGCGGACGGGAACGCCACGTGCACGTCCCTCTGCCACCGCGACTACTGCCGCAACCACGGCGTGTGCGCGCACCCCCGGGGCCGCGGCCCGCTCTGCCGGTGGGTGCCGCCCCGCCCAACCCCCCAACGCCGCGAGCGGCAGCCGCTCAGCGCCCCGCATCCCCGCACAGGTGCCCCGCGGGCAGCGACGTTTGGTTCTTGGGGTTGCGCTGCGAGCGGCGAGTGACGCTGGCGGGGCTGCTGGGCGCGGCCGCGGGCGCTCTGCTCGGCGTCGTCCTTCTGGGGATCGCCGTCGGGGCCGCCGTGGTCCGCAGGTTCCGGGCGCTGCTGCGGGAGGCGCGGGCCGAGCAGGGCCGCAGCAGGTGGGTGCGGGTGGGAGCGGGGCGGGGATCCCCCGGGGACGGACGGCGCCCCGGAGCTCCGCAGCGCTCACCGCCCGCAGCTACCGCCGCTTCTGCCGCCCGGACGAGGCCGCGGCCCCGCACTGGGCGCGCTCGTGGCCCGGCTCGGGCAGCTCCCTGGACAACCCCGCCTTCAGCCGCTCGGAGGAGCTCCTGCACCTGCACCTCCCGGACGACGGCTGCTGCTGCCGCAACGACCCCCTCAGCGCCGCGCAGCGCCCGGAGCCGCCCGCCCGCGGACACGGGTAGGTGCGGGGCTGCGGGCACCGGGAGCTGCGGGGTCGAGCTCAGCCCCTCGCGTGCTCCCGGGTCCGACGGCGCAGCGCCATTCTGCAGCCCGGAGCCGCAGGGGTGGTTTTCCCCCGTTAAGGAGCGATGCAGAAAGGCTCAGAGCTGCAGTGGGAATTGTGTGAGTGCCCACGAGGGCTCGTAATTAGCGCTAGGGATTACTGTGAAATAAGGGAGCGGGACCGGGGGCACAGCCTCCCGCATTCCAAGCCCTTCTGTTTGGCACCGCCGCTCTCAGAACGGCCCCAGCTGGCTGCAGCTGCAGCACAACAGCCCAGCACTGCATCACTCTCCCGAGGGCCCCGGCGTTGCTGTGCCAGGAACACACTTTGACCCCCTCCCACCTATTCTAATCCCCAACGGATTTTGCCACCAGCTTCCAGTACGGCTGGGACACGAGCTGCAGCAGCATGAACGAACCCATGGTTGACTCAGGCAAAGCCAGTGACGTCTCGGTGTCCAGCTGGCCCGTGGAGCCCAACCCCTGGGCGCCCTTCTCCCTCCTGCAGCAGCACTCCAGGCAGCAACCGGTGAGCATCAGGCCCGAGCTGGGGGGCACGGAGGTCACGTTTTCCCTTCCAAGGGGGGGAACGCGGATCGAGGGCCCCTCCTGTGCCAGCCCCCCCTGTCCCCAGCAGCCAGGCAGGCGGCCGCGCTCCTTCTGCGAGGGGATGGAGCTGTGTACGCTGGAGCGGAGCTGGACGGCCTGAGCGCTACAGACTGAACCGTGGCACCAAGCATCAGCTTTAAAACCAACCACATTTTATTTCCACGTAACAAGCTCAGTGAAAGAAGTCCAAACACTTTGACAATACAATCAACGCGGGTGTGATGTCAGTTCCACTCGATGCGGAGTCCTGAAAGATTATCAGGCAACGGTTTCACCGGGGTCAGAGCAGACTTGGGAAGCCAGCTTGGGCTGGGACAGCGTGGTTCGTAGCGATAGGTACAGAAGTGTCCAATAACACACAATGCTGGCATCCAACAGAGTTAATGACTTACATCCGGCAATTTGAAAATAAAGGCTAACAGATCGTTGAAGTCACATCATACTATGTACATATATGGTCTGCCCTATAGCCATTTCAGAACAAGCTAAGCCACTGTGAAGTGAAATACAAATTAAGCGCTGCTGCATTGTTTGTCATGATTAATGTAAATGAGGTATAAATTTAAACACCAGGACGTTTTAAGCATTAAAGTTTATTTTCCAAAATGCTCTCCTTATTTGCAAGTGTCTTCTTGAGCATCTAGCAGGGCACAAATGGTGGGGGGCGGTGGAAGTGGATGGAGGAGGGCAGCGGGATTCCAAAGGTGCTCAAATAGAAAAGGAAAAGCAAGCTGCAGGTTTCTGCACTTAGATTCTCAGCTCACAGTGGGCAACGCTGAGGGAGAGTTTTGCTAGGATAAAATGCAGATTTGTTCATTAAAAAAAACAAAAAAAGAAATCAGAAGGCTAAAAGAAAAATCAAACTATGGGGATACAGAGCTCTATCGTTTGATATTTTCATCGTATAGAAAACAGCCTACAAATAAAGTCACAAAAAATAGACAGTTATATGCTGAGCAGCCAAAAACATCATGATTTATTAATATCTGGAGAAACTTCATAATTCAAACACAACCAAACTGTACATTTTACAATCACATTCTATTTGTAAACAGTTAAAAGCCACTGACTTCTTTTGCATCTTCGGACACAAACGGTTAGAATCAAGGCAATGAAATGATGGCGATTTCTGCACTGTTAAAGTTTTTACCCTTGCCTAGTCTCGAACGCACCGACTAAACAAGCATCACGTAACACCTTTTGTGGCAGAGATGTAACTCGTCACTTTTGCAAGAAAGTATTTGCGAGAACTTTTCAAACATTTAAAACTTTTGTACAACAAACAATTCTGTAAGCCCAATCACTTGGTTACAGTATGCATAGTTACTCAGTTCGGCTTTAAGGTACGACAGTTAACGTTAACACAGTCACAAAGCAGGAACAGCCACTCGATGGGATTACAAAAGAATCGTAGAACTACGGATTATCAGCAAACCACCACCACTCACTAATAAAAAGACAGCGTCAGAAAGCAGGATGTCCAACTCCAGCTCCAAGCGTGCTTTTTTTGGCAGAGAAAAGTCTTACAGAGCAATAAGTATCAGTGCTAAAAGTTGAGTTTTTTTTTTTTTTTTTCCTATAAGAAACTACAAGGAGTTTTTACTGGGGAACTGGTTTTCCTGAGAGCCATGCTCTTTGATTTAGGATACAGGAATAGAAAACAAAAGGACATGGCCAAACACTGTTCGTTATTCCCAGAGATAGAAAGCATCTTTTTCATTCTCCATTTTTTTTTTTTTTGTCTTTTTAAAAATTTTTAAAATGATGGAAGAGTAAACATTTTTCTCAAAAAACAAAAACAAAGATTCTGTAAACAAGGAGGCCCCGACACGCGGGCACCCCCAAAACAAAATTGAAAGCCTATTGAAAGTGCAGGACCCCCCTGGCTTGCAGGCTGGGTTGCAAGTCACAGCTGTGGCCACAGTTTTTTAAACTGCAGAGCTAAATTCTTTAGTTTTTACACATGAAAAAACTGGTGCAATACTTTCATTCATAATCCTAAGTCAGTATCATCACTTGATCTTTAAACGCCACAATACCACAACAAGGTAGGCATACATCAAGGCATAGTAGAGAGCGCACACTGTTTGTTAAGAACATCCTTGAGTAAACATTTACACGTGAACTGCTGCCTCCCCGGTATTGCCGATTGGACAGAGAGAACATCATTCAGTGCAAAGGTAAAAAAGCTCATACTCCAACATCATCAGCAAAATGCAAAACAAAAAAGAAAAAAAAAAAAGGAATTTCAAAGAATAAACATGATGAATATACACAAATGAGCTCATTCCAAGCAGTTTTATATGGACAGCACTATCTGGAAGTGTAAATATATACTTTTTCACATTATAATATTGGCCTGCATGATTCAAGTATTCAAACTGATATGTTTTGGGCTAAAACAAAGTGGAAAATGTGCAGAAAGTAACTGTTTCCACAGGTGACCCCCTTGCTGTAGGTGAAAAGTCCAAATTAGTGCTGCTTTGTTACATTTTGAGGTCACAGTTTATTAGTTGAAAAAAGTAAAAGGTTACATGGACTCTCCACCTCCACCTAGGTGGTCAACAGAAAGGAAAGCGTTGATGGGGGATGGGCTGCTAATTCCCCTGGTGTCATTGCTGCTCGGGGCGCCCCACAGGCTCGTGGAATAGTTGGGGCTCCCCCAGAGTGAAGTGCCATGAAGGTCTCCACTGCTAGTTCCCGACAGCCCAGCACCATTCCAGTGATTTAGATCATTACGGTTTGAGAACGAATGGGAACCGTCAATGGATCCGAGTCGGGTCTGGCTGGATCCCAGAGATTGCCAGCCAGGAGACGGAGTCAGAGACTGGCCTTGTGCAAAGAAGCGACTAATCTCCTCTTCACTGGCAAACTCCGCAAGAATAGTAGTGTTCCCTAAAACACACCTGCGGGAGGACAAGAGCACATTTCAAAGAGGTTCTCTCCACCTCGCCTCTGTGTTAACAAAGCACTCCAAGCACCCTGCCATCAGCCCCGCAGATGCTGAGCTGCCACTGAGAATCCTCACATGCCTGCACACGGGAAGTGCTTCAACCCCAACAAGGCATTTGCAACCACTTTAAATTCAGACTAAGAGAAGGAAAAACAAAACTTACATGTGCAGAGATTTTTGTGCCTTCACTACCTCTTCTTTTGAACTGTAACGGACCAAAGCATTACCATGTGGGAGGTTAAGGTGGAATGTTATTAGTGGACCGTGCTGCATGCACAGAGTACGCAGGGTTGAGCCATCGATCTGAGGGTGAAACAAATGGCAGGGGTGAGAACAGGCAGCACGAAGCTTGGACTGGAGCAGGGCCGTGCTGCCCTGCCAGCCAACACAGCCACAGAGCCCCAGCCTTACCTGAGGTGTAAGGTTTTTCAGAACAAGCCAATTTGTTATTCTCCCTGAGCTGCTCTCACCCCAGCTTGAACCTAAGAGAAAAAGAAAGCACTAAGTGCCTTGTTATACTGAACAGAGGCATTAGGAGAAGCACATAAGCAGCTGCGTGGCAACTGACAGGAGAGCTGATGAAGGAGAAGAAACTGTTGTCAGATAATTGTAACTGAAAAAAAAAAACCCATAAAAAATACATCAAGTGTATTTGTTTCCACTCACTGCAAGCTAAGAATAGTTATGAAGCCTGGCCAAGGACTCCCCATAGTACATATCATGATCCAGCTCGTTATATGAGCCACTCTAGGAGCAACGCTGATCAGGCAATCATGTTCAGCTGCACAGATGTCAAACTCTGTAAGCCTTTGGTGAGATGTTTCACAAATGAGCAGAAATAACAGGACTGTCACCCACATTACTGCTGCACACAATGCCTAAAAGCCACAACACAGTCCTAAACCCAATTTTGCCTGGTGGATCTTCAGCAATGCAGTTCAGGAGATACAAACCCGTTTTTGCTTTTGGGAAGAGAAATGCTATGGGGTACCAGCTGACACTGAAATTATGTAGCTTAACAACAAAAACCATTGTTATTCTTACCAGGGGTATATCTGGCATCAGAATTTCCCCATCCTCCACCCAAACGAAGGGAATTATCCCAAGTGGACAAAGGTGGTTTCTGGCCTGTTAGCCCTGGAGGTGGGCGGGATGGAGCAGTGATGCTTTTAGGTGGCAAAGGGACCTTCCACAGCTCATGAGCCAGAGAGGTGTTAGTGACTGATCCAGGAGACCATGTTGATTTGGAATCACTGTTTCTGGCTACTAGAAGACAAAGACAACAAGAAATCAATATTCTGTGGAACTCGCATCAGTCTACAAATAAAAGCTGTTAAATGAGAGTAAAATAAAGACTTGAATCACAGAATCACCCGGGTTGGAAGGGACCTCAAGGATCATGTAGTTCCAACCCCCCTGCCCAGCAGGGCCACCAAACATACACATTCAGATCAGGTTGCCCAGGACTCCGTCCAACCTGGCCTTGAACACGGCCAAGGACGGGGCATCCACAACCTCCCTGGGCAGCCCGTTCCAGGGCCTAACTACTCTCCTTGTGAAGAAGAGTGGTAACTTGAGTTACCACTCAGATGAGATCCCATTAATAATTTTTATTGACAACTCAGCGAGTCACTGAAGCACATGAAAGGCACAAAACCTCTGCTTGGAGCAACGCAAGATGACGTCACCTGAAGTGCTTTGTGCTGTACTGCTGAGGGAAACATTGTAGTTGGAGGCACGAATGGATGACCAGGCACTAGTTGAAGGCAGCGTGGTGTTCAAAGATGAGGATGACCCTACAGCAAAAATAGAAATCCATGACAGGACAGTGTGTCAAAATTGCAAAAATATCAGAAGACTAAACATGTCTGCAGAGTCAAACAAAGGACCTTTTCCACTCTTCTGAGTCCTCATTCTTAACTGAGGGCAAGTGGTGGCAAGCATGCTCAACATCAGGAAGCA